GAATGCAAAACGAAGAATGGAACGATACGAAAGGTATAATTTGTTTAATAAAGGAATTATATTGAATTGTATTGTTTTCTGGAATATTATTTTGGCATGTTTATTTATATGAAGGGGTTGACATTTTGATTATATTTTACTAATTTTAGTCAAATCATCAGACATTTGGCAAAAATCAAGATTTTGTTGACATCTTCAGCCTGGTTTACATATGCCTGCATTATCATTGTTTACAGCTGTTTATGCATACATTCTTTTGTGAATTATTTAGTTGAACTTTTAACAACAATAGCCCATCAACAAACAGCAGGTATATGTGAACCAGGCTTCACTTGGTTAAATAGTTAATTGGAACTCACCCCCTTAATTAATATCATGTGAATATGCTAAACCATTAAGTTGCATTGTAACACATGTAACAACCTCTTTCTAATATAGTATATGCCTAGTTGTGTTGCACGTACTGGCCACATGCATCCATGATTTGATAAATAAAGAAATTTATGATGTATCTGCATATTCTCTAATTATATGTATCTCCCTTGTTCATGTTTAAATAAAATTGCTCTTGACATATATTTGTTTTAAATATAATAAATCTAGATCAGCATGAATCATGTAAGAGCCTACAATGCCAGGGGCCCACAACAAGTTCTTGTTGTCTTATCGCTTGCCGGCACGCCCCTGCTTTTACTCTGTCTAACATCAGACAATTTTACTATTCCAGGGGAGAATGCAAACAATGGGCTAATCTAAAGCTTCACAGCTTACAATTAATATGTACCCACCATTGAAAGACTTTTGGGTGGTTAATGTAACAATTAATAGCAAAACATGCAGGGATGGATTTACTGGGGGGGGGGGTGCACACCCCCTCCCTAGCCCTGGCCAGGGGGTATGTGTGTGCTATTTTTCATGATAAAGCAAAAAATATTACAGACAAAATGAGATATTGTACACAGTACACTTGTACCACATGGAGGTTGTTTTGCCAAATTCTCAGAGTACAACACAACTCGAGTCACTCGACACCAGAGCTGGCAAAGCACTCCCCTACCAGATCATGCTGGATCCATCCCTGAAAACACGTCTATCACTGGGAAGTTTCCTCAGTGACTGTTTGTATGGTTATAGGGAAACTTGCCTTGCAAAATGGATTTTACCCATGTAAATATTTTGTCTGTGAACTTTGACAAGCACAATGGAATGTATGTTAACCTCCATTGGTTAATTAACAAATCCAAGGCAAATGTTATTAAGACAGGTCTTCATACATGTTGCACCACATGGAAAACTATTAGATTTTTATTAAATTCCAGTTGTCCTTTCCCTTATGTCTACATTTATACTCACACCCATATATAAAACAGGGCCACTGATTTAAGAAAGCTTTTGCTATTTTCGCCACATCTGAGACACTCAAGTTTGAAAACTTTGTCTTTGTCCAAGGGATAAATTGCACCGTGTATTCCACAATAAGAAAGCTATTTGTTTAAGACTTTTATTAATGATTTCCTTCCATACAAGCGTATTAAAACAAGGCAAGAGGTGTTTATATATTTAATACGCAGGCACAGTCACAGATGTCAACAGTTGAATTTACATTTTATATATATTGACAATTTTCGATCGTTCTTTCTCGTGTTACAATTTCGAATAAATCACTGCACTTTCAGCTTATTATGATATAAAATGTCGTCAACAATTTGAATAGAAATTTGCATATATCAACGATAAACTTTCAATTGAAACCTTGTCTTGACATGAATCGACGACATTGTGAATTCACTGCTCTGCAAAGTCACTCGTTATCTCTAAACAATCCAAGTAAATCGCTGCGTCGGCTTTCGATAACGTTCTCAGCTTCTTAGTCAAAGTTCCCTTTGTATTTGCAATGTTGAAGAGCAGGATTAGTATTCGTTAATTTTACAGTTTTACTCGTCTTGTAAGCCATCGTGTTGAAAACAAAATTTTCTTCACTCCTTGCTGTAAGCCCTCCCTACTCCCCCTAAGTTTGAGTTTGTCGAAATTTGCATGCGCGAGCCGGTATGCGCAGTGCAAATTTTTGTGTCGATTTATGGCAGGCATCTCACCAAACTTTTTCCCACCACCCGATACGTCGGGTGAGATGCCTGCGGAGGAGGCTAGCAACAAACTACCCGTAAAGATTATACTATAAACTATCCATATTTATGGTAACTGCATCGACATATCGGTGAAGAGATTAATATAGTTTACAGTTTTTCAAATCTTCGTGTAGTGCATAACGATTTTTTTTCGTAAACTAATATGTCAATAGTGCGTACCTTCGATGGTAATGTTATGCCTTCCTCTACAGTCGTCTTTCCATAACGAGCTCTGTTAACAATCCTAAGACGCAAGATTCTCTCAGCAATATATAAACCTACTGGTCCAATAAACCATTTCCAAAAGTTAGGAGCGTGGAGAATAAGGAGCACCCACCACACGATATATAAATGATGGGAAAAGTAAAAAAGCTAGAAAATGAAAACCACAATTAAGTTGGCATATTAAAGTGCAAAAGGCAGAACTATTAGACAATTTTAGGAAATAAATTTTGGAATAAACTTAATAATAAAAACTCGAATAATAAAACCATGTTTACACCAACAGTATCAAACAAGACGAGAATTTAAATGGTTATAATTATTTCGATCCAATTACCGAATCATTATCAGACCGTCACCAAAGAAATACATTCATGCATGAGCAACTATACTCGCCTCATTATCCAAGCATTGATTTGGTAACATAGAAGTATTTCCAAATTGGCCATCACTGAACGTGGGCTCGTGTTGTGCGTCACGTGTTGCCATGGCAGCACGATTGTTTTAAATTTTTGTCATCTGAATATATATTTTTGTACAAAATGGCATATTAAAAATTGTTTTAACTATACAACAATGAATTCTTGAAATATACTGTAAACGCAGTAAAACTAAAAGTTCAAAGTGACTTCGGTCTTCAAATCAATTTGACCTCCTTTGTATTTTAATTTTTTTCCTAAATTAAACATGATAATTTGCAAAAGGGAAGCGGTGCATGTTGTAGCCAAAAAATGAAATAACAAAATTTACAAACACTAAACATTCAAACTATACTTGCCCTATATTTCACAATATTTCTTAAATCTCCAAAGCACAATGCGTGAAAGCTCATTGTATGAAAGGATTTTCCAAAGATATGCTTTTGAAAATTGAAATCTTGTTTATTCCACTCTTGGCGAACAGCCATATTTTTGAGAAAAGTGAGGAAGGTCACCTATACACCATGACCCATGGCACCATGAATCATATATTTATTTATTTATTTAGTCAACGTGGGCAGGTAAAATTACACGAATGACATGCATACAATACAAATACTATATTACACAAGTGACGAAGTCAATGGCGGAGAACCACAACTGTTATAAAAAAAACAAATTACTGTGGGTCCTTAATGATGAACTTTTAATCAGCTTGTAAATAGCCGAGCGGAATTAGTATACCCTCGCATGTGAAGATTCGATTAATGTTACATTTTACTTACTTCAAAAAAACCTCGTTTTCTGACAGACGGTTGTGATAGGATGAACATAACAACAAGAATAATCAACAGTAATACTCCAGTGATCCCAGCTGATCCGTTCGCCCATCCTTCTGGTGTTCTCGTCGTGAACATGTACTCCCAAACTTCGAACTTGGGTGAATCAGTTGTAACTAGAAAATAAATACGCATGACTTGTCAAAAATTATTTTTAATTTCTTCAGTGAGCAACTAACTTCAAAAATACATGCAGTCTTTATTACATTGTGATTTGGCACTGCGAAGGAATTCGACTACAGTACAACTACGTTTTCCCGATGATACAGATAACCCCCAAGTACCTTTCAATTTCCCGATAATACCGATAGCCACCAAAGTAAGTCATCGAAGCACAGCAAGACACGACACAGTAAAAGAAAATATATTATATAATCATTACCAGAAATATGGGACATTTTGCTCCCGCTTTTGTAGTCAGCGGCTAAGTCCATTTTATATGCCCAACATTGCCTAATAATAAGTAAAACGACTTCGCATTTTACTTTGTCTCTCCAGTTAAAGTATTATTCAACCAAAAACTGTGATTTTAAACTATATTTTGCTGATCACTTCCGGTATTTTGACCTTTAACCCCGCAAATTTTTATCAAGACTAAAAATATTGCAAATATACTAAAAAATCCTAAAATATCCCTGTGTTTTTACGTGAGAGCCTGGGATCTAGTCTTTCAAAATAAACAACAAACATGGCTGCTCGAAACAGCTCAAATTTGTATTAAAACTTGTCGTTTTCGGATATTTTAATATCCATCTTAAAAGATGGCCTAATGGCGACATACAAGAACCGTAAAAATGCGAACTTTCAAACGTTTCGGGAACTAGTTTCCTTGGAAATTATAGCGGATTTATTGAGCTAAATTAACAGTTTGGATATCATTGAATATATCGCGAGCTCCGCACTTTGCATCGTCCGAATGGATGTTGGTCTATTCGTGGGATATTTACCTCTTGCGTCACAAGTTTACTATAAATTACACTATGAAATTCATCGAATTGCGTGTAAAAATACAACATTCTCAGGAACTTGCTAGACGCGGTGCAATACTAACGATTTTTGTTTAGAAATATTGCTTGTTCGTGTCGCTACTATAATCGAGCTCCGCAACCATGAAATATTTAAACAAAGTATATTAAAATTTTATATTTTGATCAACTCCCATATAGTCAGTTATAATAATATTTTGTCGCCATATTCAGGTCAAAGTGCGCATGTCCGTCGCCATCTTGTCCCATATTTCTGGTAATGTAACTACAACGAAACACCGCGCAATTTGATTGGTCAATACAGTGTAATACAGTGCAATGATGTAAGTGCAGTGCTCCATTATTATATACTAGACACCTGCATGGTGATTTATTTTACTTTAAGTAATGATTTATATCCTAAATTTCAAACTGGATGGTATTTCAAGCCCTTGTAGTGAGATCCTGTCGTCAGTTTCACCTAACAACCTGCTTGGTTAAAAATCTCTTCCAGTCCAAATGCATTTTCCAGATTTGCAACATTACGTAGTCCGATAATGGTATAGAGTTTGTATGCAAACAACGGGAAGCTTAAAACAACACGGAGAATATTAATGTTATACACAGGGGTGGAAAACATTTTTTTCTATCTGGGAACCTGTGTCAAAGGCTAGAAATTTTCTGTGAAATTTGCAATGTTACAATTACAGAGGTGACAAAACAAAAGCATAATTATTGTATTATTTGTACTTTAATAATAGTAGGCTTTAGGCTGGTTTTCGTATGCTCGTACATCGCAATGGTTGTCTGTTATATATCACAGTTTAAAGGTATAAAATATATCATAGTCTGAGTGAGTGTCTGTATTAAATTAATTTATTCTACTTAAATTTAATGTACTGTATTATTTTAATTTATTATTATTTATTATAGTACCGTGTGGCGCAAAAAAAAGTTGCCCTGTTTGATTTGTTTTAACTTAAAAACTAAAAGAGCTATTACACGTGAACTACGTGCATTGCATTCAGTATATGCCCTGTGCATTTTCGTGCAATATTGACCGAGAGAGCTGTGTTTAAACTTGAGTAACCATTTTTAAAAGTGTCGAGAATTAGCCAAAAACGGTCTATCAAATATTAGTACAGCTATAACCTGTGTTTAGGCACACTATAGTCGGAAAGTACACGTTCGTTTTCAGAGACCTGACCAACTCCGCCGGTATAACCTCACAAGCATTATGTACCCTTACATATTCTAAACATATCGAAACTCTTTCGTCCTTTGTTAAACGAGGCGCATTTATAAAAAAAAACACGCGAGGTTTCTTTCTTGCAACATTAGAATTTCATTCCCATGCAGGGTCATTGAATATTTAGAATAAATCTTTTAATCAAAATTGCATCATAAGTTAGTTTTCATGCATTCGCAAAAACCTTAACAAAAATAAAAGAGCACATCCATCAAATAAGCATTTTTAATTTAAACTTCACTTCATTGAAACGAATATTTACGATAAAATGGTAACGGTTATCAAATTAGTTTAACAGGTCGTTTTTAGCTAACTCTCGACACTTCCCAAAATGTTTATTCAAGTTTAAACGCAGCTCTCTTGGTCAATATTACACGAAAATGCACAGGGCGTGTATCAAAATTTAAGGTCGACAATACTGAATACAGTGCACATAGTTTAGGTGTAATAGCTCTTTTTGTTTTTAAGTTAAAATAAATCAAACGGAGTAATTTTTTTGCGTCACCCAGTAGTATTATAGCAGTATAATAATAGCATTAGGGACTTGTTTACGATTTAATTTGCATTTTATTGGAGACTTTGCAGAGCAAATATTTACCATTTTACCTATTATGATGGCAGGGGTGGGTAACAGAATTAATTTCTGTCAAATATTTAAAAGGCTGCTGATGCTAGTGTGTACACTGTACAGTGTAAATAAAGTAGAATAGTTGTCAATGAACTTGTAGGTTGAGCAAACAGAGTTATCTCAAAATGTTGAAATAGTTTCTGGAAAATTTTCTGCAAAACTCTCAACTCAAAAAAATTTCTGGGTTCCGATACTTTTTCCACCTCTGGTTATACACTTACTGTATCGGCCGAGATGACCAATGAAATGCAGAACTGATTGCAAAAGGATGACTGCGGCGACACATTTGTGAAAAATAATGTGCTGGTCGATGGGGAAGAATTTTCCAAATCTTGTTGATCTCAGCCAGGTGAGAAGGCCTTTCATCATTACCACCAAAATAAACATGGAGTTGAAATTGAGGCACATGCCATTAATCCTAGCCAAAATAATCCATCCACCTTGGTGACGTCTCTCAACACCAACCCAAATACATAGGGCGGCATTTAGTAAGACGTAAAGCGTTACGAAGAACACCTTGAACGGGTTTTTCTTGATATATTCCCATCGAAGACGTTTTGGAATGCAACTTGATACTTTGTTCTTTTTAGAAACTGGAGGTTTAAACAAATGAGCAGCACTAAATTAAATTATTAAATTAAACAACAATTAATACGACGATGTTCAAAATACTGTATAAATATACCTATAATTAATGTGGACACTCCACGGAAAATGGTTACTTTTTTCGCAAAGATTTCGAATCGCAAGCAATGGCATGCATGGCAAGGAATAATGAAAATAATATCTATTTCCTAATTTGCATATAATTTTAAAAGATGACTCCAACTGTAAATACTATAGTCGATTATACAACGCGATGTTGTAAATAATTACGTACTCTCAGTTATTCTGAGAATAACATTTGCTGGTTGCATAACATAGTCATTGTCGAAAAATATAGTGCAATATTGGCCTGATTTAAGTTACTATATGTCATCCTTCTTTTTCTATATATGTTCATGGGTTAATTGTTACTACATTTTTTATTACAAACATTTGTTTATTTGGAGCAATAAATGAATCAAAACACGAAGAATTCTTCAGGCTAAGTTCAAGATGCTCAGACAGTTTGGCGGTTAACGCTCCCTCAGTGAGTAGAATAATCTACATAATAAAAGCATCCTCCGTAATTGACTATTTACCAGAGTGGGTTGACTACAAAATTTTTGTAGTTTGCTATAACTACAGCTACTTCAAAAATATGTAGTCAGCTACAACTACTGCTACTTTTGAACAAAAGTAATTCGCTACTGACTACAGCTACTGCTTAAAAAACGTAGCGAACTATTTCGCTATTTCGCTACTCTATATATTTTTTAGTTTTAAGGTATTTGGAGCATCCACTAGCTCAGGTTGTAATATATCCTATAACAAATCGACTTACGAGTAGCAACAGTAAACACAAAGGGTCAAAGGAACATTTTTGTAAGCACTACAGTGTTCAGGAGTTCCACTTTTCATTGCGCTAAAATAACCTTTGCTGTATAAAATAATCTTTTAAGCAAACCGTGTATTAATATCATTCCATTCTTTCAAGTTGATAACAATTTTAAAAAGTAGCGAATAGCGATTCGCTGTTTGTAAAGTAGTCAACTATTTGGCTACTTTTAGGCAAAAAGTAGTTTGCTATAACTACAACTACTGTATTAAAAGAGGCATGTAGTAAAAGAAGGAACACCGGAATGCCGGAATACCGGAATGCCGGAATACCAGAATGCCGGAATACCGGAACACCTGAATACCAGAACACCGGAATAGTATTTTTACTTTTGAAGGACAATTTAAAAAAATATTTCAAGTCCATAAGGATTTTTTTATTTAAGGCGTTTAAACATGAATAAAAAATGTCAATATATATACAGTACATGGGCGTACCAGGCGGGGGGGGTCGGCGGCTAATATCCCAGTTATATTCTACCAGGATTCGCTGATTAATTTAAATTAAAGTCTCGACGTGAATTTGAATTAAGTAAATGTAAACAATACACTAGTTATTGTGGATTTCAGATCACCTCTCAAAGCGTGGTTCCCTAGTTTGTTTGTTGGTAATTCCCAATTATTTATTAAGTCTTGAGAAATACGTTTAATTCGTTGGCTATATAAGTAAAACACTGCAAATTACGAGTTTAAGATCGCTACGTCGGTATTCCAGTTCAGTACTTCGGTATTTGAGCAAGCAACTTAAATTGTAATTCCACGCTCAATATTCCAAATTTAAAAAGCTGAATGGGAATATTCGAATTCACAACAAACTGGAACCGCGTTTTGAAAAGTGACCTGAAACCGACAATATTACAGTAGCCTACTGTAAGTCTACAGAGTAGCCTACTGAGTAGGTCACTGAAACATAACATAACACAACAACGTTGTGTCACAACGTAACGTAAACAACAAGTAAAAATCCCTATTTTATTCTGTAAAGGATATATTGTCATATGTCAGCCAAATGTCATATATGTTATAACAAAATCTTGAATTCGATGTCTCTATCTCGCAACGAAATTGAGCCCAAACTCATCGACGAGATAGCATTCATGAACTTCTGTTAGCTGGATGTCGTCAGGTATCACAAGAGAAGATGTTACAAATGACGGTTCTGCAGCTTTAACGCAAGCTGCTCGCAGGTGATAATGTGCATCTGACTGTCGGGATGGAGTTTTCAGTTGGCCATTGTCACTCCTGTATGGTCGTCTTTCCCTCCTCGCAATACAGTAATCAAACGGCGGGGGCTGAATTTCTTGCCCTGCCGACTTCAGAGGACCCCTGCATCCTTGGCATTCTTCAATTCGAATGTTCATCTTTTTAACATAGAATGGGTTTGTATTTGGTACCTCTGTTACAATAGACGAACTTTCAGTAGATTTACTGTATGTGCGCTTTCGTCGTGCATCAACGGGTAGTTTAGGAGTTGCTCTTCTTGATGTAACAGGTACACCGCCTTTTCTTCCGGGATGTTGTGGCATGTCTATACGCACAACCGCAGACAAATTTGCTGCTTTGGTACTTCTTTTCTGCTTGTACCACACGAGAAATTTCGATAAATCTCCACTCGATTCAGCCGCAGCGATGGTATGTGAGCAGATCTTTATCCCATTCCAGTGAGGATAACTTTTTTCGCATTTGTATTCATACTTAAAATACTCAGTGGTTCCTGTAATTTTTGCATGTTTATAGCCTTTATAAATATATTTAAATTCCTTTTACAGATCGGATTGAGAATGCTTCCTTTTAACTTTCCGTCAAAATTAAAACGATGTTCCGGCATTCCGGCATTCCGGCATTCCGGTATTCCGCCATTCCGGTATTCCGCCATTCCGGTGTTCCTTCTTTTACTACATGCCATTAAAAGAGTAGTTAAAAACTACTAAACTACTGGCTACTTGGAAATTGTAATTCGCTACAGTAACGAACTACAACTACTTCACTACTATACCCACCCTTGACTATTTAACGCGATAGTTTGTCTCAGATTCTTTTAGCTTCCCAATGTATTTCGAGTCTTTTTTTTCTCTCACTCGTGCGAGCACATATTGTCAGCGGACATCCCGCACAAAATTGTGTAAAACGCAAAGCTTTAAATTTTTTGTCGGACGTCGACCCCTGGAAATATGAGCCTGCATGCTGTTTGTTGTACCGGGAGGAAAATTTCTGAATACTACAAGCGTGGAAGGCTGTTGACGTTGAATACCTTTTGTAATTGAAAGACTGCTTAATTAATTGTGGTTGCTGTATCTGGGTTTAAATGCATGTTCCGTTGTACCGATGTATTCTTTCATGACTTGGCTTTCGGGCGTGACCGTTTCCTCATAAATGATGTTGTTCGTTAAGTTAAACATTTGCCATCTATACGGTGTAATTCGATTTATCCGACAGTTGCATGCGTTACCTTGGTACTCATCAGTAGATTTGTACTTTCGAGTTATGCATGTCGGCTTACCGCATTAGTCATATTCCCCGTGCAGCTGTGACTTTCGTATTTCCTCGGTTGAAAGGTTTGTTGACGGGGAAATGGTTGTCAATTCTTATAACGAAAGCCATATTCCTCACATAGGTGTAACTGACTTTTGTGTTCCCTCAGTTGAAGAGTTTGTGGAGCGGGTTGCTGACGAGAAAGTGCTTGTTAAGATCATGCAAGTTAATTTTTTTTACTGTTGGAAAAAGTTTTTTGTTTGCAGGTGATAAAATTGCTGAATAGAAAGTATTGCAACGCGGCGAAAGCTAAACAAAATATCATGTCATTATATTAATTAACCTTTATTAAATTTGTATTTGTTGTTAAAATCAGTTCAAAACGTAGAAAAGTTTCGCTAATATAAAAACAAGTGTTGTTTTTTTACCATAGCATAGAGAAACAGCTGATACTGAAAGTGATAAATACCAGATGATTAAATCTGGTCTAATGGGAAGAGATACAAGAAGCTACGCAAACCCGACTCATGTAAACAGCCCTTCAGCCTGCTCGCAACCTCATGAGGTTGAACCGAAAATTACCAAGCTGACATTTCGGTTATCTGCCGAAGGCTATAGGCCGAGGTCGAAAACACAAACACAAAGTGAAATGTACTATATACACGAATGAAAAGTACTATTGCACGGTAGAAAAATTGGAATTTTAATTACATATCATGTGATCGTATAACAATGAATATTAAACATGCAGTTGCTACAATACTATAAGGATCTGTTTTTAAGAACGTAATTAGTGAAATGATAAAAAAACGCAAATTATATATATGAATACTACTTGGGATTGTCAATTTGGGTTAGGTTAATTTTCTTGGTAACTGATACAGTTTTCCTGGTAATAATCCCTGATTGTTTTATATTTTATCTTTGAAGTCTAACCAAGTTTATGGGTTTTTTTCGAAAACATCCTGCTTTAATCAACTGGGTATATGCTAGTTGGTAAACGGTATACAAATGTAAATAGAAGCAGACAAGATACTGCATTACGGTGCCCTGGAGCAAGCGCAAAACAAGACCACTGCAAGCGTGTATAAGCGTAGTATTTTTTAATGTAATTCTGATTCTGAATAAACTAAAAGACTTACAAACTAAATTAACTAATAGAGTAACAAATTCACGCAACGGATATAAAGCGATACCAAACTTCGTTTGAGCACAGCAATAACCTGGATATTTAACCATTTAGCTTACCAAAAAATTTGGGCTAGGGTACTTTCAAGACCTAACAAGTCAATATTAAGTTGCGTGCTGCAGGTACTATTTTTCTGGGGTGGCCAGTGAGCTATCAACCAATATACGCGCCTATAATGTAATGCTTGATAAGCGAGGGCCGAAGGCACGAGCCGAGCGCCGCAGGTGCGAGGTGTTCCTTGGGGGTTCGGGGGCATGCCCCACCGGATAATTCTTAAATTTAGAGTCCCTGAAATGCCATTTCCTAGACTTTGGGGGAAGATTTGACAGAAATCTGATGGTCAGGAAACGAGATTATAACATGTTGGAATTTGGTTAGAATTTTGTAGTAGTACTTAAATTAGTACGGTATCAGTTTTACTATATATCTTTATGTTAGATTAATTATGGAGGAATAAAGTCATTCGTTGAGTATATTTGTATAAAATATTTTGATTTATATTAAACGCCGATCTCACTAATAATATTTTACTAAAAAGTGTGCTTGCATTTTATTGATACGAATCTGTCATATTTTTGTCAAAACATGCAAACAGAGTTAATACTATACAGTATATCACTTGATAGTTAGTACTATATATCACGTGTTGTACTGATCGACTGTTGATAACGTCAAATATTGCCCATATCGATCGATCGATGTTCTCCAATGTCTTTAATGTTTCAATAACGATTGTCGATTTCTAGCCTTTCCAAACATTTTCATATAAGCGCCTTCGACAACTCTGATGTCAGACCTCCAAGGCGGTAATAATCTGCTCCTTTTCCAAAGACATTAAAATCTTCCGTTCAGTGGTCATAAGTAGCAACGCTTCAAGTTTTTCTTGATACATACGTTTGATTGGAATTGCAACTGCGATCGCGTAAACTTTACAAAGAGTTGGAAACGCATCAACTAGGTGGTAATCAGGATTCAACAAAATTCTCAGAGCTTCTAGAAATGATGGTTTATCAGAATCTTTCTCTTCTTCTTTGTCTTCAACCAAAATCACTGAACACTTCAATTTTTGAAAAGATTCTGCAAAGCTGAGCAGTTCATCTTCACATCGATGCGAGTCGATGTCAGAAGTACACCATGCATTTTAAGGTTTCCTTGCCTGGCTGCCAAAAGGCAGGCGTTTCAGCATTATCTTATTAATGACATTACTCAATGAGTCATGATTTTTCTTGCGCAAACAACTAAATTGCGTGCACAACTTTACATTATCATAAATATCAATGCGACATTGCGTGTGATCACCGATGATGTTTCTATATGAACGATCTCGTGTGAGGTAGCAATACTGGCTGGTTAGACAAAATAGTCTGTAATTTAATACATCACTTTGTCGCCTATGCGCTCAATCTGTTTATAAGCCTATAAACACATTTTTTCTTGGTGGAAGTAACTATATTTTTTCAAATGCGTTTTTCCCCACCCACATTCAAAATTCAGCGGAATCGGCGCCCCGTTTTCATTTCTGCGCCCCCAAGAATTGCCAGCTGGGGGGGAGGGGTCGTGGCCCCCCGGCCCCCCTGCCAGTACGCCACTGCAATATTACCTTAATTTAAAAAGTAGATACAATAGTGCAAGCATACATTTATAAAATCTTAATAACGTTCACAATTTTGGTACCTTATTGACAAATGTTCGGTGACTCCTGGATGTTTTGACAGAAAAGCTTTGAATTGGTCCAAGCCAATTTCCCCTTTGTGGTTTGTTTCAATTTCTTCGAAGAGAACTTCCATGAGCTCATCGACTTGCTGATCGTCTAATTTTAGTTTGCTTTCTTCCATACAAGATTTTAAAACAGTTCTCATTTCGTCTTCGCTCAAATAACCATTTCCTTTTCAATAAAATAAGACAAGTTAAAAAGATGGGCAGCCACAAACAGCTAATATTGGCGTGTTAAAGCTTCCTTGGAAAGGTATAGTACTATAGTATCATAATGTTTCGATATTTAAGTCAAACAACTCAGCCATGCAGGAATCGCCGAGTTATAGGTTCGATTCCTACCATACGGTCTATATAGTTGCATTTTTCGCAAATTCTCCTGGTTAATTAAAAAATGATTTAAAATTTTCGTTCCAAAAAATGTCAGATGCTATAAAGATCAATCCTGTGTCACTCGGTGAGCTGCTATATTCAATTCCAATGTCCGTCATGTGCAGATATTTTAGAGAAGCACAATTTCAAATCCGATAGGAAAAGATTGGATTGCATGTCTGTTCGCATGATCTAGTTTACGAGAAACTGTCGTTGTCAACATACCATCTATATCATAAACTCTGAACAGGAATGTTAGTTTATCAGCCACAGTTCCATTGGTAAAGAGCTCCAAGCCTGCGATGAGTTCTTTCATGTCAATCATTCCATCCCCATTATCATCAAAAAGTGTGAAAAATCTTTCAGCGAAGAATGTCTGAACAAGAGAGAGGAATACATGTGAACGGTAATGCGAACAGGTACAAAAACAGTGGCGTAGCAAACTCGATAATTTGGGGGGGGGGGAATATTCATATAATTGTGCTCTGCATCATTAATTTCTTTTGAAATCAATTGTTTTTAAAGTCTGTGAACACAAATATATGCATGAATGTTGCCCCCCCCCCCCAATTATCGAGTTTGCTACGCCACTGTACAAAAAATACGTACATCCAGAGGTATGTTATTTATGTAGGTTTGTTTAGAATGAGTGGCCATGGAGGATTTATACACTGCGAAGAGCCATGAGCATTTCGACCAAAGACGTGAGTAAAGTTGGCGGCCGAAACTTATGATCAAATCTAATTTCTAGTATACTCAATTTTGTTTATTTAAATGTTTTATTAAAGGTTCACTTTGCTCAACCGATGAGCGAATTTGATCATTGAGAAATTTGATTCCATAATTATGTTGCGCATGCGTCACATTATATGCACTATTTTGCACTTATTTTTTTTAGTTAAATTCATTGCATTGTAACATTTACATTTCGATTTCATGTCTTGAAAACTTGCATACTATTTGCAATGACATATCATTTTTACAAAGAAAGAAGTGTACCGACCTTGTCCAGATGCAATGCTTTCTTGAAATGATGAAAGGTTATTTTAAGGTCTTCAGCCACAGATATATTGAACCTTTCTTCAATCCACAAGAACCACTTTGTATCCGTTGATGATCTACATACAGAAACACAGCACAGTACAAAAATTAAAACATAATTATACAGAAGTAGGAAAATACTCTCTTAATGCTCAAAATCACAAAGCACATTATGCTCTCTTGAATGCAATAAAATTTTCCTCAATAATGAAAACTGGCTAAAAAATCGCTGTTGGAAATCAATGCCACTGGAATTTTTGACAATCTGTAGGCTATGTTCCCAAGTATTCCAGATTCCATGATTTATTGGAGAATCGTAAAACACATTACTGTGCTAATAAATTAACTGATCAAAAAACTAAATAAAGCACAAACCAATGTGAACAGGAAATTGGCAGAACTAACAAAGTTATTGCTTTTTTGGAAAGGAAAGAAAATTGTTTACCGTTCAAGTAGGTCCAAACTGCTCGTAAGGTCGCCGATATCAATTTCACCATCTTGATCGCTATCGAATAGGTCAAACACGTTTTGAGTGAACTGTAAAAATACGAAACGTGGATATAAATAATATTGACATTTGGAATATTCGAACCATTTCCGCACTTTGCTTGTGTTTCTGGTTTTGTTACAAAATTCCAACCATTTTTCTACACGGAAGTGGAAATTGAATTTCCAAACTTTTAAGTGATATTTTTAAAAAATTCCACAGCATGGGAGTGTTTCAAATTTTCAAGGATACTATGAATGCATACTGCATGAAATGATGTAGCACACTGTCTTTTCATTTCAAGTGCTTTTCCCTATGCTGTTTTCTATATGTTAGCTAATTATTATAAACAGCTTATTAAGGTTGTTCTCTCCCACCTCCCCCCGCCAGTATATTTTTTTTCACGTTGCATAATCTTAACAGGAAACAAGAATTTATAATTGCATTTCATTTTCAGTCATCATTTAACACGATAATGATTTCTACAATCTTTACTTAATCGCGTTGTTCATGCGCTGTAGCAAATTGTCTCTGAGTCTTTTCAGTTTTGTTAATTTTATGTACAATTGATATTAAATGAGCTTTCCCGAAGATATTTGAAAATATATGTTACAGCTTATAAATATTAGGCTGTTAGAAATATTGAAAATTTAGACCTGGAATCAAAGTCCCAGTCCCAGCCAGAAATTTACATATTTCTGAACCCCGCTTTTCCACTGGGCGAAATTGTTTGGAGGGAGGGAAGTTCACGGCGTCCTATTTTTTCACGGTATTTTTTTCGCTAACCAATCATACATGCAGTGCACTGAATGTAGTTTTCGCTTGAAGGTACGCACTGTACATCACCGGCCACATAAACTTTGAATTTCACATCACCGGCCACATAAACTTTGAATTTCATACCCTTTTGAGAGGCTCAGAATATTTTATATTACTAACGGCAATTGTTTTTAATAAGAATAATTTTGAATATACTAGAAAAACACCAACAAAATTTAGAATCCCCAAAATACCATATTGTAACCCCCCCCCCCAGCCAATTCAGGACACTTTTGGAGACCCCCACGCCATTGTTAGTATTGCAGGACTACACTACCGATGGTGGTTATATTTTGCTAACTGAAGCCAGTTACATGAGATCATGGAGCGAGTTTTCTATAACAAGTTTTCCAATGACAAGTGTTATTTACCCGTCTGTGCAAGCAACTTTGCCAGTTTCTACTGACACGTACACTTGTTCAAAAGCTAGTATATTCTAGCTCGTGAACAAGTGCACTTTTTATATAGGAGAATCGGCAAAGATCAAATTTTGTACGACTGCATGTATACGTCAACAAAGTGGAAAATTTGGCAAAATAAAGCTTCAAAGTAAAGTTTCAAAGTAAAGCTTCAAAGTAAACCCTTAAGGTGGCTCAATACGGTGAGATGTTTTACATACGCAGACGACTCCAATGTTTCTGAATATATATTTAATCAAGAATGTACAAGTTCCCTGCAAGATGTTACTAATGGTATCGTGAATTGGCCCACTTACAATAAATTTGAACTCAACCCGACATAATGTAAGGAAATTGTGATTAACTTTCAAAGTAATGAACCCAGAGGCGCCAGAATATCGATAATTAGGGGGAGGGGGGCAGATATTCATATATTTGTGTTTTGCCCAATTAATTTCTTTTGAAATCGATTGTTTTTTCAGTCTGTGAACACGAATATATGAATATCTGCCCCCCTCCCCAATTATCGATATTCCGGCGCCTCTGAATGAACCTGTTTTCCCGCCGATAAAGATAAACGGGAATTAACGTAGAGCGGTTTGATCACTCAAGACATGAAGTGGAATGCCCATGGGGATAAGATAAGAACTAAAGCAGCAAAGCGTCTGTATCTGATGAAACAACGAAAGAGATCGGGTCTTAGTGATAATGATTTAAAATATTTCTACATTGCTTCTATAAGATCTATCCTTGAATATGCATGTCAAGTATTTCATTACGGTCTCCCGGAATATCTTTCAGACTAAATAGAGCGGATTCAGAAGAGAGCATTGCGCATCATATGCCCGGACTTGTCGTCTTCAGAAGCCATTGAAGAATTGGATATGGAAACTTTGAAGACAAGAAGGAAAGGATTATGTATTAAAGTCTTCAAATCAATAGTGAATGACAAACGTCATAAAATTCACCATCTCTTACCTACAAAGCATTCAAATACTTACAACTTAAGAAATCCAAACTTTTTTAATATTCGAAGGTGTAATACAAATAGATTTAAAAACACTTACATTAAATCAAGTCTCTTAGAACTATAGTCTAATTATAGTTTTTTATTCTACGTTGATAATATTTTTACCTCAGCATTTTTATCCTCAGTAAGATCTAATTATAAAGTAATATATATATTTTAATATAATTATTGTAAAAATCATGAAATTCAGTCTCCGGCCTGCGAGATTATTTGATTTAAACCGTTTAAAAAAATACGGTTTTTAAAAAAATGGAAAATTCACGATTTAGATGCGTATTTTTGGACAATTATTACTTGTTGATAAACAAAAAGTAACATACTTATATAAAACAACATCTAAAAAGTTAGAATTTTTGCACAAAAATTATGCAACTCCCGTGGCTATGGCAACAATGACGTTTCAAGATGGCGGATATTTTGGCTTTAAAGAAATTTAACTCGTAAACGACATCGGTGACCCCCAAATTTTATTTTAGAAAATGAATTCTCTTAGTATAATCAATTATTTTGATAATTTAAAAAAAAATTCTGTGAAGGTAAAAAAAAATTACTATGAATAATCACCTGTACGTAATCTTAAAACTTTTGACTGAATTTTTTTTTAATTGTCAAAATAATTGATTATACTAAGAGAAATCATCCACCGATGTCGTTTACGAGTTAAAAAACCACCGATGTCGTTTACGAGTTAAATTACATTAAAGCCAAAATATCCGCCATGTTGAAAAGTCATTGTTGCCATAGCAACGGCAGTTGCGTAACTTTGGTGCAAAAACTCAAACTTTTTAGATGTTGTTTCATATAAGTAAGGTACCTTTTGTTAAATAACAAGTAATAATTGTCCAAAAATACTCATCTAAATCGTGAATTTTCCATTTTTTTAAAAACTGCATTGAGCCACCTTAATTGAATTAGCTGTATATAAATTTGATTAATCTATACTAAATGTATATATCAAATATGTATAAATGTATATAAATGTACGTTATCGAATCATAGGGACGATCGAATCATAAAGGCCAAAACAGCGGACGCTATTCGACAACGCGGCGCGATTATTCAGTTTTTGAAAGTTAATATGAAAATCGATAGTTTTTTCAGTAAGGCAACATGGGCGTTGTTTCTTCACATTCCTTTACAAGCAGATGAAATAAATCTTCTTCTACTAGGTCTTCTAAATACAAAAATAATGAGGCGCCATCAAGTGCATCTATATCCGCCAATTTGTTTTGTACTTCGAACTCGTTTCATTGGCTGACATCTAAACAAACCTCAGCTGATGAGAACGAGTTCAAGTTGGCCCTAGTCCACTTCTCCAAACTTGAACTCCTACTTAATTGTTCTAAAATCTAAACCTGCCTAATAAAATAATTCGGAGTTTCCACATACGCATCCATGTGAAACGTTCTGCTTCGCGTTAAAATGCAGTTGAAATATGCATGAAGCTGTATTTGGACGAAGTAAGATATGCATATCAAATTATTCAACTGTTCAATCATCATTTGTATATAAAAAATGTTGCTCAAAAAAACAATCATTTTTCGCACGTTTAATTCGCTTTTTAAATTACAAAATATATTCCCTTTAGTGTACCTTTCTTTATTTTGCCTTACGACATTTTTTTAGAAATTTGTATGCATTTATCGATACTTTAGCACGCATTTTTGCCAAATTTACCGACAGATTTGTGTGCAAGGTAGATGGAAATTCTGAAAGCATGTTTGCAGTTTTTCTAGTATCCGCTACTTCTTTGCCTGCTAGTATTTGTCACAAGGGTACCTAAACATGCGTCTGCTTCCACTCCCATCTTCCTCTCGATCAACAAAAATCAAATGAATAATATTTTAAATTATAGTATAAGTGTGATATAACAAACAATTTGATTGGCTAATGCGCGTGCATGAGGATGCAATAATGCACTGTGATCTGTGGCACTGTTTTGCTTTTTCTCTGCCCCACACACACGGTTCATCACTGCTTTTTAGCCGGAAATATAAACATAAATACAAAATTTATCAGAAAGCAAGAAGGAATAGACCAAAGGAATTTTTCTATACTTTCGTTCTACGTGTAAAATTAACCGGCTTGGCATTCATCTAATTTGTTGTTGTCTCGACAGGTTTTGGGCAAAAGCGTGCAAAAGAGCCGAGAGAAAACTTGAAAAAGATACAGGAATACCAAAAACATGGAAGAAGGCAACAAAAACTGAACATAAGTGATTTAGAAAGTACCTTCAATTCTTCTGATAACAACTGCTAGATATATTTTCGGCGAAAGACAAAAAATACTATAATGTCGAAAACTGAGCAACACGACGAAACCTACGATTTAACGTCTTTCATGGCAAATGCAGCAGCCCAGATGCTGAAAAACTTTGGCAAATTAGTCTGTGTATCACTGTTTTTATTTCCAGCATTTCAAACAATTTTTCCAGCTTTAAAGCATCAAAAGTTTGTGTTGTTTTGACAAATTCGCTCCTTCGCTGCTTAAAAATTCAAACGACAGTAAAAGCATGCGCGTGAGTCACTGAGCACATGTTAGGAGAATTTCAACGTCGATCTTTGGAGTAAAATTGTTTACTATGTAATATCTTCTACTTATATTATAAAAGAAATAGAAAAACTCATCCCGTGCGTATATAGTGCGATATTGCACTCGGGGAATGTTGGGAGAATACTCGAGAAGCGCTTAAAACACTCGGCTACGTCTCGTGTTTTACACGCTTCTCTCGTATTCTCCCAACATTCCCCGCGTGCATTATCACACCATAAACGCACGCGACTCGTTTTCTATTTCTTAAATAAAATCATCAATACACGCAAAGTTCAGGTAAACGTTACCTACCGTTTCATCATCAAGTGCCGATTTAAATTCAGCAAGGTGAATATCACTATTTTTTCCACAGACGTTTTCGAAATATTCGGTAAACCAGCGACAGATTTTATTATCCTTTTTCTTTCCATTGCGTCTAGCGTAATGGAAGAAGAGTTTTAATATAAATGTGTTTTACAGATTATTAGTAGGAAGGCGACAATGCGATATTCTACCACGTCACGAATTTATGAATTGAATAATCACAGCATGCATGACATACTTTTCAAAACTATTTCAGTTATGATATGTATAAGTTCGTCATGGAATTAAATGCTCTATATATATACACCGATGCCTTGAAAAATTAGTCCGCATGCAAACAGTCCCTCGGGAGAAAGGACTGTCGACAACACATCAAGAAACGAAATACGCGTTGCCCACACAACGCAAAATTCCCATTGGTCGAAAACGATGCGCCTGTCAATAGAATCTGATATGTAGTATCATTATGCTATAAATAATTTCCATACTGAATGTTGATTTTTGAAATAAACATGACATTAACGGTTCCTATTGGATAGAGTTAATTGGTTATAGGTAATGTGCATGCGAAGGCGGAGCCAACTTGACAAGTGCGAAAAGTGAGCGTATTTCGTTTCTTGATGTATTGTCGGCAGTCCCTCCTTTCCCCTCGCACGCCCGGGAAGCTAAACCCGTGGAAAGAAGTGACCGCTCGTAGTCTATGAGGAGGGGTAATTTAGGATAAATATGGAAAAGGGCACATCACAAATATAGACATGCAGAGTCCATTTCCAGTAGACAATTATACGAAATAATAACGAGAAACGAACACGCTATATGGTAGTATTTTGATTCTATTTCAATATCATTATTAGACCTATACGGTATTTACAAAGTGAGCTAATATTTATATGCGATCCCGGAATGATGATATCATCAAACTACGAGTGAAATATTTATATTATCTGCTATCAATAAATCAGTGAAATAAAAAGTCAGGAATATTTAGTACTTACTGCCAAAGGAGCCGCAAGCCACCAACAAGTTCCTGTATGCTGATATAACCATGTTGTTCAACGTCAAAAATATCGAATAGATGTTCAGGAAACCCCTATTCAGAGAAACAGGTAACTTTAATTTCAAAGAGACCTACATATGTATACTGTATATAGAGATTATTCAAGAGAAGTATAAATAGCATTATATAATAAGTGTATAAAACTGGCAATGCATTAACTCAAGATTCTCCCCGATAACAACTGACTAACTTGGCAATTTGTTAGATTGAATCTTCTGCTGTTTTAAGTTAAAGTAGTCAGGCGTTTTTATGATATACAAATCTGATCAACCAGACTGCACAACATATATGCGTCAGCGCAGCATGGCTGTCATAATGGATCAGAGTGTTAAGCAAATTTTCGGGGCCTCTTTCCCTCTCTCCTCTCTTCTCACCCCTCCTCTTTTCCCTATTTTGCCTTCCATTCTGTACTAGCAGTTTATAGGTTTTACCGTACTGTCTTAACTACAGGAAGATACAGGAAATACTTCAAGCAAATGAAGCGAAACATATATCAAGCAGACTGCATGCAGGAGACATATATTATAAAAGATTTAATAGTGAAACAAAAAATCTGCAGAAGTGTATAAGTATACCAATTGCTCCGAATATCTGCATTATTTAGTCCTGTGTACGTCATACCTCCAAATTGCGCGCTCCCATAATGAATTGCGTCTTTTTCAGCTTTCCATATTCTGCCAGAGGACCAAAGCTGTTTCCAAACCAGTCAGACCGACGAGATTTGCTTGATAAACATTCATTTTTCTTTTGTGTTTCACCTGGAATATCCAATCGTACTGGTGCTGGAATTTCAATTACCGACTGATTTATCGTTCTCGTCCCATTGTCTTGGCTAGACATTTTCTATTATTTGATTTAGTATTACAACCGAGTGTTACAATTCGCCCCTAAAAGAAAGAATAGACATTTTTACACAAAGCTGAACAATTATGCTACATCATCAATAATCCAGAAGTGTTTGTCCAAGACAAACCTGCAGAGCACAAACACACAAGTGAACAAATTTTTGACTGAAGTACTGCATGAAATTAAATTGTTATTGAATTACGACACATTCGGGGTTATTTAGCCAATTTTTTATAACTATTCCATTAGCAGAATACCATAGATATCACGTACAGTACCTGGAATATAGAATCCCTAACAAGCGCAATAACTAAATACTCTAATTGTGTGAAATTGCGCTGAAATACATTTGAAAGTGTTATGGCTCATGCCCTCTTGAATGTATGATGCGCACTAAATTGAATTGTGCTTGTCATTTTCTAAAACTTCATAGGTGTTTGCCCACGCATATTTTAAACTAATTAGATTATAATAAACGTGACCTTTTTGAAGCTGCCGACACCGGCCATAACTGCATGGAGGGCAAGATAAATGGGGTTCTTTGTCTGATTTCTTTGTCTGCAAATCACACAGCTCTTGATACGTGCTCTCCAGTCACATACTATTCTCAAGTAGTTTTAAAAGCTATCAGCCCTTTCATCAGTATAAAGTTTATGACTAGTAATTGCATCCACATCTATCTACAGTTTGCCTATAGGAAATAAATCAGTCGTGATCACGGATGTATATCCCGACGTCAGACTTCATGCAATAACATGCATATTTGAAATCCTATGTATCTGTTTTGGCTAGCGTTGAGACATACAACAACTCTTACATTTAGAATTAATTAATGAGTTATATCGCTTAAGTTTACTTTGTAATTTTAGGCTTTCGCAGTTCTTCTGTACTTCATTGTTTTAAATGGCGCTTTTGTCCTTTCAGAAATCAGCATATACATAGCGCGTCTAGTTCAATTGTTCTCTTGTGTGTAATGATCATGTATCTTCTATAACTGAGAAATAACTTTGTGGTTTTAATATTAGCCAACTGACGTTTTCTTATCGGAAATACTATATACTGTGCTTGATGTCCTTACCTATCTGTTTAATAATAAGGCTATAGTATTATAAATTAAAGTGTTCTAAATCTCAGCAAGAATCAGTAATAACGCAGTAGTGGAAGTAGCATTATTATAAAGTAGTTTTACTTGCCAAAAACAACAAAAGCTGCATTTAGTGATTGTGAAGCATGTTAGAATGCCCTGCCAACCATATCGCACCCACGCTTAATTTATTATAAATGCTGCCACACAAAATTTCGAGAAAATTTAAAAGTATTGAAGTGTATTGCGTCATAAAATTAATATAGGGACGTGATATTATGTCGTATTTTCCGCAGGCTAACACGAATTTTGAAAAACAACATCGAAAATGCCTATAATTATATATGGCGCGCACACACCAATTGGTAAGTCCCAAGTTTCACGTATACAATATGGATCGACAGAGATTATTTAATTTTGCAATAAATATTATTCAAGATAGTTTAGCCAAAGTATAGAATACTTAATTAGCGAATATGATATCTAGATCGCTCCCCATCGATCTTAGATTGTCAGTGACCAAATGTACATATATCACGCTAGTTATATAATTTATTATAAAAATACTGGATAGAAAACTCCGGCACGCTCACGAATGATGTTTTCCTGACGTTGTCAGCGTGCTGATGCGTCTCGACCTTGTTAAAAAGTATGACATCACTAAATCCATATGGAATAGGTCACGAATGCTCGTGTCAGCTGTTTCCTATTCATTTTTAATGAACTATACATATACATGCATGCTTATATTGTATACCTATATACTTATCCTACACTTCATTAAGATGTCTAAAATCTATTTCTTACTATTCCATTCATGCTATTTCAAGTATCATTCCCAATTGTTTAATTTTTACTAATCGTTTTAAATTTCTTTATAGCTGCATTAATTGTGTTAAATACTAATCATCGTTATAACGAGTAAATAATACATAGTAGAAGAATAATAGAATAATTAACAATGTGTACATGGCAAGCACGGACATTTGCGATATAAATTCAACAAGTCATGTACAACATCGCGGTTATCAGCCATCCAACTGTATAGTTGGTTCATCAAATGTAAATGAATGGTTCAAGTACTATTTAAAACACGAGAAGGAGTGTTTTATCATATTTAAAAGGCGAGGCGCAGCCGAGCGTTTTGATATGATAAAACGCGAGTTCGAGTGTTTTGCATAGCTTAAAATACGACTACAAAAGAATACTAATTAGGATGAACAATTATATAATCATACTAATTAGGATGAAGAATTATATAATGAATACTAATGAAGATGAGTTTTATCAGATATAAAGTCATTCCACATGACATATTATGGCTGACATGATTTGTCACAAGGTTTATGAATTTTTAATGAGTATTTTAAAGATTGATATAGGCTAATTATGGAGACACAGCATGGTACCTGTTTATACAGATACCATACTGTGCTCAATAATTATATTTAATATAGATAGAACCGCCGAGAAATAGCTTAATTATAGGCCTATTTAGTTGAAAACATACACGGATTTGCCTACTTTCAGCAAATCGCTACAATGGAGGACATATTCCTTTAAATAAATATTAAGCAAGAAACCTCATGAAATAAAATGGTGACTGAAGAAGTATTTCGCCATATATTTTTCCCATGCAATCTTTCGTGATATATTTGGCTGCAGCCACTTCAGCCTACGTCATAGACTCTATAAGTTAGCTCGATTCCTCGTAGAATCTATGCAACTTCGGACGAAAGCTCGCTCCAGCTCACGCCACAACCGTTTTCACTTTTGAATAAATTAAACTGCGATATATTGCATGCACGTATCTACGATCAAAACAGGAAAAGGATTTAAAGCTCAAAAAACTGGAATAAAATATATGCGTGATGAAAATTCTGTGTTATACTGGGCTATAATCGCCAGCGCTGGCATTCCTGGCAAAGAAATGCCATCATCACCTTCATTTGGCCTTTCTTTCAAACATTTTCATTTTGTTTTTGTGGTAGATAGCTATGAATTGAATATCTAGTTTAATTAACTTGATATTAGACAGTCTGAAACTCGATGAAAACACTGATTTCATCATATTTTACATTTTTATTGATTTTTATATTGAGGGACTGGAGATATTTCGATTACCGCATAAAGTTTTTTCCTGAGATATAACCAAAAATGAGAAATGCCATATCATCACCCTCATTTGGCCTTTCTTTCAAATATTTTCATTTTATTTTTGTGATAGATAGCCATGATTTGAATATGTAGTTTAATTAACTCTAAGAACGGAGTTGATATTGGACAGTCTGAAACTCGAGTCCTCTGGCTCATATGCATTAATTAAGTTTACATTATATGATGAAAACACTGATTTCATCGTATTTTACATTTTTATTGAATATTTATATTGAAGGGCTGGAGATCTTTCGATTACCGCAAGTATTTTCCGAGATATAACCAAAAATGTTATAACCACATTTTAGATATTGTTTTTGCGCCAAAGTGGTTATTTGAAATTGAAAATGTGTGCGAATAGGTGTGATACTCAATACCGGATGTGTGTGAATATTGTGTATCTTTTGTCATACTTTATACACTCTATACAACAACAACAACACAGCGAAATGTTCTCTCTGGAGTAGCATGTCATCATGTTGATATGGCTCTGTATAGCATTGCCAACTTTACATTTGCGTTCACCGGCATATCAGCTGAATTCATATTAAAAGACGGATTTCCGTCTGAGATGGGAAACTCGTCTATGACGAGAAACTCGTTCAGATATAAATTCGGTTAACGACGGGTTTTCCGTCTTAACTTTTCCATCTAACTTTTCCGTCTGAACGACGGAAAGTTAGACGGGTCTCTCGTCTTAGACGGGTAATTCGTCTTAAATTTACGTCAGGGGAATAAATCAAGACGGGTTTCAAAAGAGACTGGGATGGACGTCTCCTACTTTTTCGGGTTTATCCGTCCGATGGTTTTCCTTTCAGTGGAAATTCGTCACACAAGTTTCCCGTCTAAGACAAAAACCTTGCACGTGTTGTGATTAACTGATAATGAGTAAATGACACCGAACAACCTTTCCAAAACACACCTTGATAAGTTGAATCTGATTGGTTTACAGTCTGAGGTGATAACAGAGAGCGGAGAAACATAACAGAGGGCGGAGAAACACAAAAGAGGGCGGAGAAACACAACAGAGGGCGGAGAAACATATAACAGAGGGAGTAAAAACCCGCTACTGAAATCTCTCAATTTCGTCTTTTACAGAGAATGAAATATTCCAGATCGTCCCCACAAAAATAGAAATTCACTGCGCACGTTTACACGATTCCTTCCAAACGTTACCATAATGTTGAACAATATAGTACAGGAGCAAAACCATGCATGTTCGCGTTTTTGAATTAGTGCCATACTTTTCAAGTTATAGGCATCTATTCTATCGGTTTAATAAAATTTAGATAAGTCAACTTGTCTGCTTTATATCAAAGCAAGTACAATACCTGTTAAGAAACGTGAACATGTTTTTATTTTTTGATAATTTGAAATGGGAAATGTGATCTTCCGGCAGCCCCTGAGCTAAATCAGAAGCGAGCAATTCTAGTGATTGAAAGGACTTCATATTTTCAAAAGCAGCTCGCAGCAATTACACTTTTTAAAGTTGTAGAAATTTTGTTAATTGCTAACTCGAGTATTGATTTTTTCATATGCATGCACAATTTGAGGGGGAACACTTACAAATTGAGAGGTTTCCGTCATGTAGAGAAACTTAAAGAATATTTCAAATATTGTAGTTCAATTTATATAATATACCAAAGCGCAAACGGATGTGTGCGGGGGTATGCTTTTCGCTGAAGTTGTATGGAAACTCTCCAAGGAATCGAGCTAGATGAATCAAGCTTTGACGTATAGGTTACGGAATTCCGTCTGAGATGGGAAACTCATCTATGACGAGAAACTCGTCCAGATATAAGTTCGGTTAACGACGGGTTTTCCGTCTCAACTTTCCAACTAACTTTCCCGTCTGAACGACGGAAAGTTAGACGAGTTTCTCGTCTTAGACGGGTAATTCGTCTTAAATTTATATCAGGCAAATAAATCAAGACGGGTTTCAGCTCGAATGCAACATTGAAGAGAGACTGGGATGGAGGTCTCCCACATAGCTATGATTTGAATATGTAGTTTAATTATATCGATATTGGGCAATCTGAAACTCGAGTCTTCTGGCTCATTTGCATTAAGGTTACATTACATGATGAAAATACTGATTTCATCATATTTTACATTTTTATTGATTTTTATGTTGAGGGACTGGAGATCTTTCGATTGCCTCCTGAAGTTTTTTTTCCCGAGATGATAACCAAAAATGAGAAATGCCATCATCACCCTCATTTGACCTTTCTTTCAAACATTTTCATTTTGTTTCCGTGGTAGATAGCCATGATTTCTTGCATATGTAGTTTAATTAACTCTAAGAAGGGACGATATTAGACAGTCTGGAACTCGATATTCTGGCTCATATGCACTGAAGGTTACATGCATTATATGATGAAAACACTGATTTCGTCATATTTTACATTTTTATTGATTTATATTGAAGGGCTGGAGATCTTTCGATTACCGCAAGTATTTTCCGAGATATAACCAAAAATGTTATAACCACATTTTAGTTATTGTTTTTGCGCCAAAGTGGTTATTTGAAATTGACAATGTGTGCGAATAGGTGTAATACTCAATACCTGATGTGTGTGAATATTGTGTATCTTTTATCATACTTTATACATGACTTTATACAACAACAACACAGCGAAATGTTCTCTCTGAAGTAGCATGTCATCATGTAGATATGGCTCTGTACATCATTGCCAACTTTACATTAATTTGCGTTTCACCGGCATATTAGCTGAATTATATTAGAAGACGGATTTCCGTCAAAGATGGGAAACTCGTCTATGACGAGAAACTCGTCCAGATATATAAATTCGGTTAACAACGGGTTTTCCGTCTCAACTTTTCCATCCAACTTTCCCGTCTGAACGACGGAAAGTTAGACGAGTTTCTCCTCTTAGACGGGTAATTCGTCTTAGACCGGGTAATTCGTCTTAGACCGGGTAATTCGTCTTAGATGGGTAATCCGTCTTAAATTTATATCAGGCGAATAAATCAAGACGGGTTTCAAATAAATCAAGACGGCTCGAATGCAACATTGAAAACAGACTGGGATGGAGGGTCTCCTATTTTTTTGAGTTTATCCGTCCGATGGTTTTCGTTTCAGTGGAAATCCGTCACACGAGTTTCCTGTCTAAGACGGAAATCACTCTTCTGTCTTCAAATATGAATTCAGCTGTTGGTGTGACAAACTGGGTAATGAGCAAATGACACCGAAAAACCGCTTTTTAAAACACACTTTGATAAGTTGAATCTGATTGGTTTACAGTCTGAGGTGATAACAGGGGGCGGAGAAACATAACAGAGGGCGGAGAAACATAACAGAGGGCGGAGAAACATAACAGAGAGCGTAAAAACCCGCTACTGAAATCTCTCAATTTCGTCTTTTACAGAGAATTAAATATTCCAAATTGTCCCCACAAAAAATATAGAAATTCACTGCGCACGTTTACACGATTCCTTCCAAACGTTACCACAATGTTGAACAATAGTACAGGAGCAGGAAAATGTTCGCGTTTTTTAATTAGTGCTATACTTTTCAAGTTATAGGCATTTATTCTATCGGTTTAACAAAATTTGATAATTCAACTTGTCTGCTTTATATCAAAGCAAATAAAATACCTGTCAAAAAAGTAAACATGGCTTTATTTTTTGATAATTTGAGATGGGAAATGTGATCTTCCGGTAGCCCCTGAGCTAATTCAGAAGCGTGCAATTCTCGTGACTGAAAGGACTTCATATTTTCAAAAGCAGCTCGCAGCAATTACACTTTCTAAAGTTGTAGAAATTTTGTTAAATCACTAACTCGAGCATTGATTTTATTCATATGCATGCACAATTTCAGGGGAAAAACTTACAAATTGATCGCGGTGCCGAGCCTTTTTGTGAAATAGGTTTCCATCATGTGGAGAAACTTAAAGAATATTTCAAATATTGCAGTTCAATTTATATAATATACAAAAGCGCAACGGACGTGTGCGGGGGTATGCTTTTCGCTGAAGTTGTATGGAGACTCTCCAAGGAATCGAGCTAGATGAATCAAGCTTTGACGTATAAGGCCCGGTTTAGACGCCGTGCTTTTCATGAGCCGAACTTAATACAATGAATTAAGCACATGAGAAGCACGGCGTCTAAATCAATTAAGCACTGCACTTAATATTAAGCACGGCTAAATTAATAAGTTCGCCTGGTTTAGGCGTGCTACACGGCTGAAGCACATGTTGATTTATACTGCCGTGCTTCACATGAGCCGTACCAAATGCATAAATTATGATAAAATGGAACATTTATAGTACGCGGGCGTTGATTGGTCGAGAAGCGTGTTTCTACGCGGGAAATTTCCCGCCTAAATTTACAATCGTAAACAAAACAATTAAGAATTGTTTAATACAGTCAAAATACAAAAACCTTCCCACTTCCGCTTCCGGCTTGTTTTGTATTTCTGTAATTTGTTCTATTTTTTCTGTAGTGATTTAATACCGCTTTATCGGCAAATATCGCGGTAGAATTTCTCTTTCTTTTCTTTATATACGTCAATTTGTAGCAAAGGATACACCTTTCGTTTATAGACTCTTTGCATAAAAGTTGCGAAATTATAGGCTTATAGCGATATTTGCTGATAAAGGCAAAAAGGGTTTCTTGCAGTAAATTGATGGAGCAAAGGTCGGCATTATTACGCAATGAGAATTTGTAAATATATCGAGTCTACTACAAATCTTTTTTTAGTTATATTAAGAAATAAATATAAAGTATTTATTATGTATGACCCATACAGTTATAGAAACACTTGTAGTAGTTTGGGAGAACTCGAATATTAAACGTGGAAAAACTCGCCCTAAGCCTATATAGGTCTCGTTTTCCCACACATTATATCCAGGCATTATGCTATGTTTGTAGTAATAAGGCTTTTCAAAAAGCAATTGAAATTTTTAATAACCACAAACCTGTAGACGCTCAGAAATGCCAAGATTGTATGTGATAAACCCTTTTTTTCTTATTATGAATTGTCACTCGCCCCAGGTTTCGAAGTGAAGCAACGCAAATTATTAAGTACGGCTCATGAAAAGCACGCCTGTCTAAATCAAAATTGGAAGTACGCCTATTTTACTCGAGTAAAATATGAATTAAGTTCGGCTCATGAAAAGCACGGCGTCTAAACCGGGCCTAACACTGCACGAAAAATTGGATTTACCACTATAGGAAACACAGAGTAAACTTGAGATAATGCCGCATTTGCTCATATTTACGAGCAAATGGGGCATTATCTTCAAGTTTACTCTGTGTTTCCTATAGTGGTAAATCCAATTTTTCGTGCAGTGTAAGTTACAGTCACTGCTGGTGTGGTCATGATTTTCGACCTTCCATATATCCTACCACAGCAACCGCGCACCTTTTTAACATTTCCATCAGACTGGAATATATACTAGGACTAGAAATACATGCATGCAATAACCCCTCGCCTGTTTTCAAAACATATATACTCAGTGCCGTTGCGAGCACTTCGTCTCAGGGGGTGTGTGTGGTTAGATAGAGGGGGGAGGGGGTTACCAAAAAGTTTCCAGATGTACAAAAAATTTTCAGGACATACATGTATAATAATTTTTCCGAAAATACAGTTGTTTTCCAAATTCACTTTCTCAGTCATGTCCTGAGAATCACCTGAATTCCCCTGAAAATCTTCTGCAAATCTACTTAAATGTACGTACTAAAAGTGCACAGGAAATCTACCTGAAATTCATCATGAGCAATAATCAGGGGTGTTGCACCCCCCTCCCCCCCCCCCAGTGAGTTCCAAGCAAACACTCTCTGATTTATTGTTCGTGTATTTCGATCACCTCCCAAAATATTGTGCATCATACTATAGAGCATTTTGCTGTTGTCATGCTCTAGCTACCTCCTCCGCATGCCTTTCGATGCGGGCGTGAATAATTTGCGGGCGTGAAATTTGAGATCAGGGAAGAACGGAAGGCGACGAAAGGCCTGCTGAATAATTTTAAAATTAAACGAGACTTACCTGTAAGTTGAAGTTTGATTTGAATTCTATAACGTCATCAGTCAGGAACGAAGGAGTAACATGAGAAGCACGCGCTCGCTTTCCTAGCCATATTTTAAAGTACCCAACTTGCTGATTCTCACACGGGAACGAAGGAGTATCGGGAGGGAAAACTCTCCATAAGGGAGGGCATGTTACTCCTTCGTTCCTGACTGATGACGTTATAGAATTCAAATCAAACTTCAACTTACAGGTAAGTCTCGTTTAATTTTAAAATTCTATACGTCATCAGTCTACGTCACTACGGAGTACCATAAGATTTTAAAGCTGTGAGGATCAGCAAGTTGCAAGAAGTGAAGGTGGCAACAATTATATCAATGTTTGATACACAAAGTTTTCCTCTTTTTATTTACATAGCTATATAGAATATATATGTCATCCTCGACTGTTGTCTGAGTTATTAAAGTGATTAAGTAGACTGTTACCAAAATTAGAACCAATTGGTTTATTATAATGTTTGGCAAATGTTCCGGCATTCGTCCAACCACCAGCTTTGAGGACGTCGTTAAGCGGCAAACCAGATAAAAATCCGTAAGACGAAGACGCCGTTCTGCTGCTATGAGCTGAAAAATTTTTTATGTCGATGCCTGAATCTTGGAGGAAACATTTGACCCATCTACCAATTGTGGAATTTGTCACTGGTTTAAACGGTTTGACGTAGCTTAGTAGCAATTTAGATTGAGATCTCATAGGCTTAGTTTTACCAATATAGAATTTGATATGTGCCACAGGGCAGAGACGGATGTCTTCAGGGTAGCTTAAAAACTTGATAGGCGGGAGATGTTTTCCCGCCTTTGTGGTTTTTAGTTTCTCGCGTATTGTAAAAATAATTTCATTATCAATTTCTTGCATGAAATCTAGGTCTAAACTAGATAAAGTTTGGCAACGCTGTGCAGTTAACAGAGCCAATAACGTTGTTAATTTTTTCGTCAACATTGATAGAGGCAGCTCTTCCATTGCGGCCATTGACTGCATGTGTTTAAAGACTGTGCCCACGTCCCACACTACCGATTATCGAGGAAGGGATGGCTTAAGTTCGAATACACCTTTGAGAAACCGGGTCACCAAAGGGTGTTCGCCAAACTTACGCTGGCTATCCAGTGTTATCACAGCAGATAGTGCAGACCGCGCTGTGTTAATGGCACTATAGCCTAGACCTTGTTTGTACAAAAATGTAAGAAATTCGAGCCCATGCTGAATGCTGGCTCGTTCGATATTTATGCCATTATCTTGGCAAAAGCTAATCCATTTTAAGAGATAACACTGATATTGTTTTCCGGTTGCTTGGCGCCATGACGCCATTATAATTTGAATGGTTTCATCCGATAACCCTTGTGCAATTAGCTGTTGCCGGATAAGTGGCAGACTAGAAGCACCAGCGATTTGTGTAGGGGGTGCAACTCCCGAGGTTGGTCTGGCAATTTCAGCAGGTTTTTCCCCGGACCCACACGTACGGGAGGTTTCTGGCACATTTGCATGGCCTTGGCGTACCAGGATTGTGTTGGCCAGTCTGGCACTACCACTATCCCCGTCGCTCCTTCCTCCTGGATTTTTTGTAGTAATGTTGCTATATGGCACTAAATGGAGAAAAAGCATAGAACTGGAATTTAGCTAGGTTTAATGTGAACGCATCAACCGCGATTGCACCTGGGTCAGGTCTGTATGACACATAGGCGGGAAATTGTGTCAATACCCCCTGAAGGATTGAGTTGTCAATCATCCATTCAGTGTGAGTTTTAGTACTGCGTGATTCAGAATCGGCTATAGTATTGTCAACTCCCGGGATATGAGCAGCAGTCAGCCAAATATTTTGGCCGATACACCATTCCCAGATACGTTTACCGAGGGAGTTGCAATTTGGGGAGTGACTTGTACCCATATGGTTAATTACGGCGATAGCGGTCGTGTTATCAAGATAGACACGGATATGGGTATTGGTTAAGGATTTACAATAAGTCTGTAACCCTAGGAACAACGCTAGTAACTCAAGATAGTTAATATGGCACAATTTTTCGACATCCGACCAAAACCCCCCCGTGTGATTACCCTCGTAGACCGCTCCCCAACCAGTGAGGGAAGCGTCTGTTGTGAGCACATGGGACGGTTGGTCTCGTGAGATAACATTTGTTGACTCAACAATATTGTGGACCCACCACTGAAGTTCAAGTTTTGAATCTGCAGATAAGGTCATGTGTGCGTCAAATTTCCCTTTACACAATTTGAGTGCTTCAGTTTTGTTAAGTTCTAGGGCTCTATAATATAAAGGCCCATGTGCCACCCCCGGGAATGATGAAATGATTTTACCAATAACTTGCGCAACCTCTCGAATTGTAGGCGTATGTTTCGATAATAAAGACACGCATAGGTGTTGTAAAGCTAATTTTTTCTCAGGTGTGAGGGTGATAGTCATGTCAACAGAGTTAATTATGAAACCTAATAAAATCAGTTCCTGTGACGGTATAAAGACAGATTTTTCCGGGTGGATTATGAAACCCAGGTCGTCGAATTGTAAAAAAGTGTCAATCACATTACAGACACATTGTTCAAATGTTTTACCCTGAAGGAAAAGATCGTCAATATAGCTAGCAATGATATGGCCCAATTTGTGGAGGGCAGTCAAAGGAGGTTTCAATAATTTGGTAAATGTCCGTGGGCAACTTGAGAGCCCGTTTGGCAAACATGTAAACTGATATAGAACCCCTTGCCAAACAAAACGAAGGTATTTACGATCAGAGTGATTGACAGATACTGAATAGTATGCGTCTTTAAGGTCGAGCGACGCCATGAAGCAACCTCGTTCTATCAGTTTTAGTATAGAATGTAACGTGTCCATCTTAAAATGATGGTAAGAGACAAACTGATTTAGACCTTTAAGATTTAGTATTAGCCTGTGGCTGCCATCCTTTTTCGGTCGTATAAAAATATTGGACACAACCTCCCCTGAAGTGTGGGTGGCAGTCTCAACAATACCTTTAGCTAGCATTTTTGCAATTTCCTGATCTATAATATCAGATTCCCTGATCGAAAAAGGAATTTTAGGAGACGCCTTAGTTATTGGAGGAGTATCAAATTCGATGATGGTGCCAGTCACAGTGCTCAAAATTTCTGGGTCAGAAGTTAGATTTTGCCAGGCTGACAGAGAGTTTCTAACATTGCCAGCCTTAAAACTGTCGCATCGAATTTTTAAGTAGTTCGTTAAATTTTCAATAGCAAGGGGAAATTTACTTACCGATAATTTAATCTTTTCAAGAGTGCTCAAGATTTCCTGCCGGGTTTGGCTTTGAACATCGGTTTTTTCTGGCCCTTCCCCAAAAAATGAGGCTTGTTGTCCGACCGATATTCAGATTGGTTGCCTCTCGGTTGACGAGAATTGGCGAAACGATTATCGTAGCGATATGTGGAGCGATTGTTCCGAGGTTGCCGGTTTCGGCTAACGCCAAGGGATTGGCTTATATTGCTCGTTTCTTTGGCGTCTCTCACTTGTTTGGCCAAATCATCGCCAAAGAGTAGGGGCGAATGTGGGACAGGGTCATCAGCCCGATTACACAGACTGTAATACACAGGATTTAGGGTCGGCTTTATGTTGTCCCTTCGTATACGGGACAAAGCACCTACCGCGTGCCCCATAAGGGCCAAAGCATCTATTGTATGCGAAAGCGCGGTTTTCGTGTCTGTAGGCGTTGTCAGTAAACTATCGCATGCCTTCAACATGCCAAAAGTACCTTGTTGCATAACTTGTTGGATGTTACTCAACCGTATGTCTGCGCTCTTTTTGGAGTTGTTCATGCTGCTCCAGATTTCAGGGTTGACCCTGGGTACCGTCAGTTCGGCGCAGTTTTCTGGCTTGGCATGTTTTGCCAATAATGTCTTAAGCTTATCATTGGCAATCGGTTTACCCCATCGTTTGATGGCGATATCTGCCAGATTTTGTACGACCTTAGGTCCAGTTTGTTCGTCCTCGTTGAGGGCATTATTAAGTGAGTCTAAAAACTTGATTTCTGCTGGGTCAACGGAGGCAGGAGTATCATTGACGGTATTATTGTCACCATTGTTGGTTTGCCCTGCATTACTGTCCGTGTTCTCGCCGGTGGCGACGGACCCGTTTAGGAAATCATGAATGTCGTTATCGGACGGCGCAATACTTAAAGCGTCGTCATCAACGCGAAGCCGTTTAGGCGGGAAATCCATCGTGTCATCCTCCGATGGCTCGGACTCCGATGAAGCCCTCCGATGTTTATGTTTCTTAGATTTTGTGGTACGGGAAGACATACTCTCGTTGCTGACAAAACTATGTAAAGCGGCAGCCAAATTGCTAATGCCCTCCTTGATCACAGCCAACGTTTGGCCAATGTTCTCGTCAGGTTGAGGGTCGCGGTCGGGTCGACCATCAATGGGATCATATTGGTCCCTTGCATGCCGAGTATCGGTCATATCTTGCGAATGAGCGTGGTCAGGTTGACCGCCGTCTTGGCCTGTTAGGCCGCTAGTATGATCAGGTTGACCTAGACTGATAGGGCTTTCAGAAGTTGGCGTACCACTGTTGAAACTCATTATAATATTTTACGTAACACGAAAAATTAGAATGCTAAATAAAGCCTGAAAAAGACTAACTGATAAACAATTATCAAAACTAGTCTACGTTACTCACGTAACCAAGCGATATAAGTCTTGCTAGAAGAATAGACTTGGAAGTTGCTGTTTAACAAATCCTCAACAATGAAGAATTTCTTGATGTTGCGGCTAAGAAAGCGTGTGTACAATGGCTAGGAAAGCGAGCGCGTGCTTCTCATGGTACTCCGTAGTGACGTAGACTGATGACGTATAGAATAGTCGGTTCCTGGGCAGAAGTGACGTTTCCCGGGTATCGGTTTTCAATCCTTAAAAATCTTCGTGAAATATGAACCATCCTATCCCAAAACTATTGTCCCGTGTATGGTAGAGTATTTGTGATACTTCAGGGCAGTCATGGCCGAAAGCAGCGACGAACAGAGGGGAAAATCGAGGATTTCGACGATGTTGACGTTCTTAATAATATGTCATTCTGTGAAATGGAAATAGGTATGTATTTTACCTGATTAAATATCATGTAGATCATTGACGCGTTTTATAATGCAACTCATAACAAGCAGTCGTAACACAATGATATATCAATCTCTATGAACAGGACACGCTTGAATAACGCCATATGTTGACAATTAATATGTTGTGCTCATCGTTCGACGGCAGCGTTGTGGATACTCTCAATATATCGTTTTCTGAAATGGACTTGGTATGTAGATTTTTGTGGTAATGGAGATTCTACATGCAGACATTGTGTTATTATACTCAAAAGACAAAGAACAAGCGAACAGTGAGACGCTATATTACCTCTATTTACATTGTAAATGTATATTTTTAATATGCAAATATAATTTCACCATATTTAGCTTTCAAATTGTGCTTTTAATGTTTCATGCAGACTGATATTTGAATCTTATCTAAAGTATTTGGAATGGCTTATCATAGGCTTAGTCGCAAAATATGTAGAAAGCGGATATAATATCGTTGATGTTGTATTTGCATTGGCATAATTTGTATAAACACTTTATATTAGACAGTCTCCATCGTCATAGAAAAGCGGCGGCTAGTTATAAGTACTTTTTAGTCTGCCAAGACCACTGGATGCTATTTCTAAATATTATTTAGATCTATTAGATCAGTGCTGGTATGTATATTGTATATTAAGTCATAATAGTAAAGTCAAAATGAAAATTTCGATTTATAGCATACGCCATCTTGAAAGCATTACTCGGCAGGCGCTCTCGCCTGCAACCCGCATTTTCCGAACCTGCCCGAAATGCACCCTAAGCGCCTGCGGAGGAGGTAGATGCTCTAGCATGGTTCAAATTTATGAATTTGGCTAAATTGCAGAATACCCGTCCACTAGTTATCTTTCACTGCGTAGCCAGATTTTCAGTGGCTACGCAGTCACGCGTTATCAAATTACAATGTCAAGGAAATACCTCTCTCTTGTTGATATCATGACGTAATTGTAATGAAGCTATTTTTTAGTGGCTACGTGGCTACGCGGCTACGCAGTGAGTTTTTTAAAAGAACGAGACATTGATATAGTGACGTAATTACTAAAGATATTGTTATAGTTTCATTAAATACATATAAATAAATATTATATAATGTTTTTAAATTTCTTCAGACTTCAATCTCTCGTTGTTTTAAAAACTCACTGCGTATAGCCACGTAGTAATTACGTCATTATATCAATGTCTCGTTCTTTTATAAAAACTCACTGCGTAGCCGCGTAGCCACGTAGCCACTAAAAAATATACCTACAGTATACTTTAATAATTACGTCATCATATACCAATGTCTCGTTCTTTGAAAAACTCACTGCGTAGCCGCGTAGCCACGTAGCCACTAAAAAATATACCTACAGTATACTTTAATAATTACGTCATTATATCAATGTCTCGTTCTTTGAAAAACTCACTGCGTAGCCGCGTAGCCACGTAGCCACTAAAAAATATACCTACAGTATACTTTAATAATTACGTCATTATATCAATTTCTCGTTCTTTGAAGAACTCACTGCGTAGCCGCGTAGCCACTAAAAAATATACCTACAGTATTATACTTTAGTAATTACGTCATTATATATCAATGTCTCGTTCTTTTAAAAACTCACTGCGTAGCCACGTAGCCACGTAGCCACTAAAAAATATACCTACAGTATACTTTAATAATTACGTCATTATACCAATTTCTCGTTCATTGAAAAACTCACTGCGTAGCCGCGTAGCCACGTAGCCACTAAAAAATATACCTACAGTATACTTTAATAATTACATCATTATACCAATTTCTCGTTCTTTGAAAAACTCACTGCGTAGCCACGTAGCCACTAAAAAATATACCTACAGTATTATACTTTAGTAATTACGTCATTATATCAATGTCTCGTTCTTTTATAAAAACTCACTGCGTAGCAGTTACGCTTTCGTAAATACGTAATCACTTCATTGCCTCGTTCTCGTACCCACTGCGTAGCCGCGTAGCCACCGATATTTCTAGGGGTCTTCAAAAGTGGACGGGTATTCTGCAATCGCTCCATGAATTTTTATTATATAAAGTATAGTGTTTTACAGAGTTTTCGAGCACTGACAAAAATGATAATCTCAGATGTGAAATTATTCATGATAATCTCACATGTAAAAATTTATCGCCTTTTCAATTATCGCTTTTCTGTAAACATTATCGCTTTTCCATTTAAGACTGTCCTTTATATAATAAACAGAAAAATACATGGGTGGTTGGAAATACCAGATTTATTTTTTGTGTTGAACATGACATCTCACTCGTTCGCTGCGCTCACTCGTTCGCTGCACACTCATGTTCAACACTCGAAATAAATCTGGTATTTCGTGCTCCCATGTATTATTCTCTATTTAAACTACAGCTAGACTGGTTTAAATTATTATCAATTTATCAGTGATTTTAAAAGTTGGAGATAGAAGTGTTTTGTTTTATAAAATTATCAAGTTGTTGGTGATCGCAAAACCTCCAAATTCTTAATTTCAAATGTTAGAATGTTAGGGTTAGAATGTTAGGGTTCGTAATATATACATTTTAAGACCTAACCAGGGACGACTGCGAAAAATGCAGCACAAGGTCCTCTAGTAGGAATTGAACCTACGGCCCTGCGATTCCGGTGCAGCGCTCTAACCAACTGAGCTACAGAGGCCAGCTGTTGAGCTTTAACCGTAAGTTCATGTATATTTAAGTAATCGGGTGTGCGGGTTATGATAAGGTGGACTTCAATAATTTGGATTCTTGCACTTCACTTGGTGGAATTAATATTAGAATGTTAGGGCTTGTAATCCAAGTGAGAATATATACATTTTAAGACCCAACCAGGAACGACTGCGAAAAATGCAGCAGAAGGTCCTCTGGTAGGAATTGAACCTACTGCCCTGCGATTCCGGTGCAGCGCTCTAACCAACTGAGCTACAGCTCGGCCAGCTGTTGAGCTTTAACCATAAGTTCATGTATATTTAGGTAATCGGGTGTGCGGGTTATAAGGTGGACTTCAATAATTTGGATTCTTGCATTTCACTTGGTGGACTTAATATTAGAATGTTAGGGTTTGTAATCCAAGTGAGAATATATACATTTTAAGACCTAACCAGGAACGACTGCGAAAAATGCAGCACAAGGTCCTCTGGTAGGAATTGAACCTACTGCCCTGCGATTCCGGTGCAGCGCTATAACCAACTGAGCTACAGAAGTCAGCTGTTGAGCTGTAACCGTAAGTTCATGTATATTTAAGTAATCGGGTGTGCGGGTTATGATAAGGTGGACTTCAATAATTTGGATTCTTGCACTTCACTTGGTGGACTTAATATTAGAATGTTAGGGTTTGTAATCCAAGTGAGAATATATACATTTTAAGACCTAACCAGGAACGACTGCGCAAAAGGGAGCACAAGGTCCTATGGAAGGAAGTGAACCTACGGCTCTGTGATTCCGGTGCAGCGCTCTAACCAACTGAGCTACAGAGGCCAGCCGTTGAGCTTTAACCGTAAGTTCATGTATATTTAAGTAATCGGGTGCGCAGGTTATGATAAGGTGGACTTCAATAATCTGGATTCTTGCACTTCACTTGGTGGACTTAATATTAGAATGTTAGGGTTTGTAATCCAAGTGAGAATATATACATTTTAAGACCTAACCAGGAACGACTGCGAAAAATGCAGCACAAGGTCCTCTGGTAGGAATTGAACCTACGGCCCTGCGATTCCGGTGCAGCGCTCTAACCAACTGAGCTACAGCTCTGTCAGCTGTTGAGCTTTAACCATAAGTTCATGTATATTTAGGTAATCGGGTGTGCGGGTTATAAGGTGGACTTCAATAATTTGGATTCTTGCACTTCACTTGGTGGACTTAATATTAGAATGTTAGGGTTTGTAATCCAAGTGAGAATAATTTTTATATACATTTTAAGACCTAACCAGGAACAACTGCGAAAAATGCAGCACAAGGTCCTATGGAAGGAAGTGAACCTACGGCCCTGCGATTCCGGTGCAGCGCTCTAACCAACTGAGCTACAGAGGCCAGCTGTTGAGTTTTAACCATAAGTTCATGTATATTTAGGTAATCGGGTGTGCGGGTTGTGATAAGGTGGACTTCAATAATTTGGATTCTTGCACTTCACTTGGTGGAATTAATATTAGAATGTTAGGGTTTGTAATCCAAGTGAGAATATATACATTTTAAGACCTAACCAGGAACGACTGCAAAAAATGCAGCACATGGTCCTGTGGTAGGAATTGAACCTACGGCCCTGTGATTCCGGTGCAGCACTCTAACCAACTGAGCTACAGCTTGGCCAGCTGTTGAGCTTTAACCGTAAGTTCAGGTATATTTAGGTAATCGGGTGTGCGGGTTATGATAAGGTGGACTTCAATCATTTGGATTCTTGCACTTCACTTGGTGGAATTAAAATTAGAATGTTAGGGTTTGTAATCCAAGTGAGAATATATACATTTGCATATTCTCACTTGGATTACAAACTATTCTCATTTGGATTACAAAATATATACACCAAATATATACATGTACTATACCGGTACATTTGTATATTCTCACTTGGATTACAAAATATTCTCACTTGGATTACAAAATATATACATGTATATATTCTCACTTGGATTACAAACCCTAACATTCTAATATTAATTCCACAAGTGAAGTGCAAGAATCCAAATTATTAATTTCAAATGCTCCGCCAGGGCTAAGGTTCGAGTGGAAATGCCCAACCCCCGGGATGTGCTTTACAGGAAAATGGCTGGGCGAGGGGGATGGGCACACTTGGATTTGGCTGATGCATTAAAAGTCCTGTGCTTATTCCAGACTGTTTGTCAAATATTTACTTGCTAGAAGTAGAAATTTACTCTGACCGCTGGATGAAGAAGACATTAAATAAGTACTGGTCAATAAACAGAAATGTATTTTATTTCATAGTATTACAATTTTATTTTTATATTATAAAAATAAAATATAAACATGCAGCATAGAATATGCAAATTCGAGGCAAAATTATTGTTGAATCGGTTTATTTATAGGATTTATAACAAATAGCAACTATAAATGTTTGTACCTTGTCTTCACATCGTAATAGCCAATGCTTTTAATTTTACATATTTTAGAATCAGTTCCTTTCCTGGTAAATGCATTTCTAAATGAAATCATCGTGAGTAGTGAGTGCTGAGCAGGCCGTTTTACTATAAACAAATTTTAGGAATTGATAACAACTTTGAAAAATATATCGTTGCACATTCGGTCACAGTCGGAAAAATGTTCATAGTATGTTGTACCGTCGTTTGCAACTAACGATGAACAGTCCCTCATAAAAACATTGGCGTGATTAGAATCTTCAATGTTTGTCAAGAACAACAACACTTAATTGTTGTTTCCCATGTGTGCAATAAAAATAAGTAACAAAACTTTGTCTGAACTTGTTGGGCTAGAGACCTACTGGAAACCTTTACAGGCTTTTTAATGAGAATAGAAAATGTTTTATCTGCAACTGTTCACCCTTAGTTGCCACCGACGGTATTTGACAGCATAAAATTGCCTGTGGCTGTGATAACTGATATAAATAAAATACAGTCTGGTTATACTGACTTGAGCGTGTCATGACAAACTCTTTATTGGAAAATTGTGAAGAAATAGTCGAATATAGAGGGTCGAATATTATACTTAAACTTGTATAGCTACAGTATCATTGGTACATAGCGTTGTGAAGACAAGCCTTTGCTTTAATACCTTTCGCTTCAGCAGTCTTTTTTTTCCATGCTTCTCTACGCTTTCCCAGGCGAGCTTCTCTTTCCTCAGCAGTCTCCTCGAGCAAACGTTGTCGTCTTCGCTGGCTCCCTCCTTTTCGCGAGACGTTCGGCTTTCTTGTCGTTTTCTTGCCGCTCTTCATTTGGCTCCATACAGTAGTCCATATCTTTTCAATTGGTATTTGATACCATAATTGTTTTATTAAACTCTTTTTAGAGCAAATTGCTTTGAAAGCTGTCAAAGTTTTTTGCAAACGTACAAAATACTGCAGTGCAAAAAGCAAATTATTTTCATGAAGTATCTGTCAGTTGAAGTCGTCAGTTCATCTCACAACAACAAATTTTAAATTTGACCAATCAGTGTTCGCTATTCACGACAGTCCGCTATATTTTGAGATCAGTGAGGATGACCACCCATGAACGGTGAACCATAGACCTTAATATTCATAAATCGTGATCGAGGCCTCGTATCCTAGGAAACGGGGAAAAACGCGGGAAAATTGACAAAATGGGTTTTTTGCTGTCGGCTATGGCAGCTTTTTTTCGTCGATATTACGGCTTTTTTCGAAAATAATATCTATAAAACTGAGTTTGAAAGTTGAAAAAAATACTTCTGAGAATATATAACATGATATTTAAAGCAAAAGATGCTGGAGTCAATCGAAAAAGGAAACCTTTGACTTTGTATTATTGTCGTAGTTTGTATGGCCGAAACAAACAACCAACAAGGCTACAAAACGTCTATACAACACCAAAATCGTAAGAAATATGAAACTATTGTTGAAGAAATAAGATTACAACTCACTCAGGTAATGACTAATGTAGCCTTCATTTTTTAAACTTGTAAGCTGTTTGCAGAATGTTATCGTGCCACAGTCATAGTTCATATTTTTCCGTACGAATCAATAACATTTGACGTTCTCTTGTGATTTTTTACTGTTATTTTCTTTCATATTTATGTAAAATTCGAAAAATTATACTTCCATTCCATAGTTGTCTTGATTCTTCACGGAATAAACCTTTATATTGACGTTAAAATCTCAGTAAAATACTGTTTTTCGCTTCTGGATAAACACCATCGCTACGTTGTCATTTTTTCCACACAAAAACGGGAGAAAAACCGGTCGCTTTTATAATAACCTCGTTTACCGCTTTCGTTTTAGGCACAAAGTCTTATGATACACACAAAAATCGTTATAAATCGCAAAAAGCAACAAGAAACAAGCCGCTAAAGTCGACACAATAGCATCTGAATTTGGCTTGTTAAGCAGTTTTCGCTTGTTTTCCCGCGTTTTGTTCCCGTATCCTAGGATACGAGGCCTCGTCACGATTTATGAATAAGGTCTATGCGCCCGCGATATTTGATGAACTTTAGACTCCGCTAATGCTTTCGTTTCCCCGGGTGTAAATAGCCGGGGGGAATTAGTACCCTCGCACGGCGCTTCGCGCCGCCGGCTCGGGGATTACGCATGCAAAATTACATGAATAGAATTCCTAATTACGTTATATATGCTTCGTTAAGAATTCTATATTCAAATCAGCAAACGAAAACATTCTGAAACATTATGACTAGTTTGATGACAATCAAATATATTCCAAAAAGAATGTCTTTGATTTTATTTTAAAAGCAGAATAAGACCTAATATTGCTAATCTTTTCATCAAGGGGTTTCCATATTTCAATTCCCTTGTTAATAACGGTATGTTTGGCATAATTGGTTCTTCTATAGTTAACGTGAAATTTGTTTGCATTTCGAGTATTATAACGATGTATTTCACTATTCATTGTTAGTGATGCGATATGAAAAATAGGAAGATGATCTGATATATCAGTAAAAATTAATCCATTCTTACTGTATTCAATTTGTTCAAGGTCATTGGTGAATATATTGTCAATTAACGTGGCAGTGTGTTCCGTTATCCTTGTTGGTCTTGTAATAAGAGGAAAAAATGATGATGTAAAAAATTGCTCACTGAATCTATTAGAAAAGTCACAACTTTCTGATTTTAAAAGGTCAATGTCAAAATTCCCCATAAAATATGTTACTTTGTTTGACTTATCAACTTTACTGAGAATTTTGTTTAAATTAGTCTCAAATATTTCAAATTTACCATTTGGTGGTCTATAAAGTGTGCCAACTATTATGTTTTTGCCAACTGTTGTAATAATTTCAATGAAGAGCGATTCGATTATTCCCTCTTCGTTGATGTCAAGGTCTGGACGAAATTTAAAGTTTAAGTCATTGGAAGTAAACATTCCAACGCCTCCTCCTTTTTTCTTGTTTCTGTTTGTGCTAACAAAGTTAAAATTATCTAGTTTATAATCTGTGCAGTTTTCATTATCAAGCCAAGTTTCCGTCAAACTGATTATCGAAAATGAATGTTTTAGTGATTTTAACAAGTATTTTAAAGAATCAAATTTGTTTATAATACTTCTTATGTTTAAATTCAAAATAGAAAAGTGCTCGTTACTAGGTATATCCCGCGACATATCATTCGGAAGATAGCATTTGCATGAAATGTTATTAATGTTAGTAAGCATATCGTAAATAGAGATTACTTCATGGTTGGCGAGCGCGTACGGTTTTTATTCACGAGTGAATTATTACAGGCGAACGAGTGAGCGCAGCGAACGAGTGAGCCTGTAATAATTAACGAGTGAATAAAAACCGTACCCGCGATCCAACCATGAAGTTATTTGTTTATATTATAAGTATTGAGATTTCACTCAAGAAAATGCATATTTTAAAATGATTAATAATAGTAGATTATTAACAGCATTTGAGGTTGCATAAATTAACTTTTTATTTTGAGAACACAACAACACAACTTGATTGTAAGAATTTCAACGCGAAGAAAATATTAAATTAACACGTATTTTAAAAATACTTCAAAGGCTATAAATGTTTATAAAAATGTCTAAAACTCATCGTCACTGTCCTCTAAAGGTTTAAGTCTCTTCCATTTTGACAACGCTTCATCTTTGGTGGAATTTTGGCTTGGTTCTTGTTCCAATGTGAGCTTGGGCGACTGGTTTACTGTGTTTATGTTAATGGAAAAATTGCCGCCTTTAATGACAGCTCCGCTGAATAAAGCCATAGCTTGTTGTGCTTCGGAGATGGGCGAGCAAGTTGGTGGTGAATTTACTGTTTTATCAGACGATGTCTTTGCTGCACTACCAGATGTATAGCCACTGAGAACTTTGGACATTTGCATTTCCTGTTTGCTCGACACTTTGCTGTAGCTTTCTAAGCTTTTTAAATTCTTGTGCCCTGACAGTTGAGCGATATGTGTCGGGGGAATATCATTTTCGCTAAGTGTTTGAATCATTTTTTTTCTCCCGCTGTGATTTCGCAGTCGTTCGTTGTTGATTCCTGCTTTTTGAGCCATTGTCTTCATCAGACTGTTCAGTTTGTTTATTCCAACAGGAGCGGCCTTGAACCACTCTTTCGTTTGAAGCGACTCTTTCTTTAATGTGTTGTTCACAGCTAGGTAGAAAGGGGAATCATCCTCGTTCATTTTTCCTGGTCTCTTCCGCTCGTAAAGTTTGTAGACCACGACAGGATCTCTTTCCGACCCATCAGTAGCAAACATTTTAGGCGCCATTTTTCTGACATCACGGCAATCTGAACCGGTTCTTGTTTTGGTTTGTCTTTCATTAAATTCTAAAAGTTCCTCACCGTCTGCTGTTTGCTTCAACTTAACATCGCCCAAACACATGTCTCTGTGTTCTTTGCAACCTCTGAGTCCAAAATGCATAGTGTTACTCAACCAGAGTGTGTTTAAAAGCGACTCAGGACTTCGTGTACCGAGAAGGTCTTTTTCATACAACGTATTTAGTTCCGAAGTGGTTAAAGCCACAGAAGCGTTTGGTTTATTTCCTTTTCCTTGTTTTTTTAATTGTTTTTAATTGGACTCGAGAGTTTTTCTTGTCTTTTCGAATGCCAAGTCATTGATAATACTAGCAGGGTAGTTTTTCCTCTTAAGATGCCGCTCGAAACTTGCCAGTAAACTCCGAAGAGAAGATGGCTCGTATTCTTTTCCGTTTTTGGTTCTGACCGAAATTATAAAGTCAGACATGTATTCGTTTAGTTCTCCTATCGGGATATCTTCAATGTTTCTTTCTTCGTTCTTGTTCACCAAAAATAGTTGTAATAATTTAACATCACGCAGTGTTTTTTGCGCCTTGCTCTTGTTCTCCTGTTCCAAAATAAAGTCGTCAACAGAACCGGCGTCAACAA